TTTAAATTGCAAATTTTAAAAAAATTAGAGTGAAGCATTCATGACCAAGTTTATTATTCTGTTAATGTAGGCAAAGTTCTTATCCCATTTCAATTCCAATCACACAAATGAATCATGATATGGCAAGCGCATTAGAGATATTTTTACAGATTGAGGTTAATATCAATAATAAATAAATATTATTGTGTCAAAATTTTTTTTTTTTATTGATTTGATTTATTTTTAGGACATTTTTCAAATAAACTTGAAAGTTATTGGAGAAATTCATAAGTTAGCAGATCAAATAAATATAGATGAATCAGAACATTTTAAAACAGCTATTTGCTGCATCATTAAGCATTCTGCATAGTTTATTATAATCTCCTCGCTGAGACATATTCAGACGTTTTGCTTCACAAATAAGAAGATATAATTTTATATTAGTTTCTGAAGAATAGGTCACAGCAGTATCAACTTTCCGGCTATACACCGAAAAAGTATGACTCCTTGTTGTTCTTTGGTAATATCAAGAGATTTCAATTTGTCTTTATTATTTGGAATGTAGATTGGTTCATTCTCATTACTCTGAATAATAACCACTGTTTCTTGAACAGAATCGTTAATATCAAAATATTCCTTATCAGGCTTCTCAAATAAATTCACTGCTTCTTTTAGATTCTTTGGCCATTCAGTAAAAGGGGGATGATGATATAGATTTTTACGTTCATAAGAGCATTGCGTTAGATGTTTTGGTCTAATAATTAAATTTGTATAAAACTTATGCTTCATAATTAGTAATAATTTAAAAATTTTAATTACCCATGTAAATGAAATTTGCCAAATAAGAACTTGTTCAGAACAATCTCCAAAGGGATAAATATATAATTTAGAACTAAATCAGATTCATACATATTATGAAATAGATTAATCTACAGTCTTATCCTAAAAAAATTAACCAAGTTTTTATTAATATTATCATAAAAGTGTTAAAAAAACATTGAATACTTGCCAACGTATAAGAATAGATTCAGCCCAACTTTTTTGTTGATTGATGAGGGATTTAATCTCAATGGAAGGTGGTTCATTACTAAGATTATAATCACTGTATGCTTGATCTATGGTGCTTATAATATCATCTATTTGATTCAAATC